GAGATTTGGGCTATGGCTGAGGGTAAATGCTGGTGACTTGGGCCACTGTCTCTGGTATCTGGTATCAAAGTGGTACTTTGTTCCGATAGGACTTTAGAACGTCCCTGCAGATTGTTCTGGTTTGACTCTGCTTGTGCTAAATATTTATAGTTTGCAAACTTCCTCAATTGGTATTGACTTCTTCCAGACTTACTGGGTCATCCTTAACAGGAAAATGAAGATGGAATTTTATTTTTATTTTTTTTTTAATGTTTATTTTTGAAAGAGAGAGAGAGAGAGAGAGAGAGAGTGTGTGTGTGTGTGTGTGTGTGTGTGTGTGTGTGTGTGAGCAGGGGAGGGTCAGAGAGAGAGAGGGAGACACAGAATCCTAAGCAGGTTCCAGGTTCTGAGCTGTCAGCACAGAGCCTGATGCGGGGCTCAAACCCATGAACTGTGAGATTGTTATCTGAGCCGAAGTTGGACACTTAACCTACTGACCTACCTGGGAGCCCAGCCCCAAGATGCAACTTTCCCTCTGAAGTCCTCCTGCTGGAATAGACACATGACATCGAAAACAATCATGTTTCCCTTGACTGTGGTGTTGTAATGATTTTAGTCCTGCTCCACCGAAGTTATTCTCCCTTATTTCAGTAGGATGTGATGATACCCAAAGTAATAGAAGGGATGGATGGTCATCATTGAGAGCGCATGGGCTTGGAAATTCAGCAAGACTCCTCCTCTCAACTCCTCAACGCTGAGATCAGAAGTAACAGCCCCAAAGTACAGGGACCATGAGCAAATTGATGGAAAATACATGCTACTAGAAAGCAGTGCCTGGTGCATAGTTGGTACTCCATGATATTTGTTGAGTGAATGGATAAATAATGGTTTAGCTTAAAAAAAATCAAATAAATTGGGTACTGCACTTCTCCTTGGTTTAGGCATTCAAAACTGGGGTGATTTTGCCCCCAGGGAATATTGCCAATGTCTGGAGACATTGTTGGTGGTCACAAGTGGGGTGTGGGTTGCTACTGGCATCTAGTGGGCAGGGGCCAGGGATGCTTCTAAGCATCCTATAATGCACAGGCCAGGGCCCCCCACAACAATGAATTATCCAAGATATTAATGCTGAGATTAAGAAATCCTGCCTTAGGGGGGCGCCTCAGTGGCTCAGTCGGTTGAGCGTCCAACTTCAGCTCAGGTCATGATCTCACCGTTTGGGAGTTCGAGCCCCGTGTCAGGCTCTGTGCTGACAGCTCGGAGCCTGGAGCCTGCTTCGGATTCTGTCTCCCTCTCTCTCTATCCCTCCCCAACCAGTGGTCTGTCTCTCTCTCTCTCAAAAATAAATAAACATTAAAAAAAAAAAGAAATCCTGCCTTAAGTTAAAAAACAAAAACTTCACGACCTTTTAAAAAATACCTTTAACTTTCTATTTATCTTCTTTTTATTTAAATTAAATAAGATTTATGAGACTATGGAGGTATTTTCAATTACAGAAAACGTGAAAATCCCGAGGTATGAAATTCTATATTTTAATAGCTACACTCAACAGGATTCTACCATTTGATTTTCTATGCACAATGAACCAAATGAATTTTTTAGTAGTTAAAATATGAGCAAGAACGTATAGACTTGGTGGGGTTTTTATTTTAGCTCATTTCCCCCTTTCTAAATCCTTTCTAAACAACAAGGTCACAAACAAAGTAGTCTCATTTAAATAAACGGCTCTTTCCAAACGGAGAAATTAATCTGCTTAGTATAAAAGAGATTTAAAACCTTGACAATGCACACAACCAGCAGAATTATCTGCAGCAGTGTGGGATGCCACAGTACAGAGAGGCCGAAGCAGCAAAGAAGAATCTATGAATCACACATATGTGTCTCTTCACCGAGATGCCTCCTGGCTGGAACCCAGACTGTAGGAACACTAAACAACTGCAACTTTCTAGGGCAATCTCCCTTCTCCCTTCTTAATTGGGTTCTATTTTGACCCTCCTGGGCCTGTGGCTTGCACTGTGCTCTTACACTCACCATCATCCCACTGGCTAATATTTACTGAAGAACTACTGTGTGCTGGGCACTGGGTATAAAGAGGTGAGCTAAAGAGATTTATTTGAATCTGAGTTACTGTCTAAAGGTCTTAGGGACACAGGGTATTTAAATGGTCTTCACCTCAAAGCTGGTGAAGGAATATTACTGAGCCATAAAAAGGAAGTCCTGTCTTTTGTGACAACGTGGCTGGACTTGGAGGACATTATGCTAAGTGAAATAAGGTAGACAAAGAAAGGCAAATACTGTGTGAAATCACTTCCATGTGAAACCTAAAAAAGCAGAACTCAGAAATAGAGTAGATCAGATTGGTGGTCGCCAGGGGCTGGGTGGGGTAATTGGGGACAAGTTGGTCAAACGGTACAAACTACCAGCGATAAGATGAATAAGTTCTGAGGATCTGATGTATAATTAACAATACGGTCTTGTGTTCTTGAGAGCTGTTAAGAGAGTAGATCTTAAAAGTTAACCACCTGCCCTCCACAAACATGCCAAGGTAATTACGTGAGGGGTTGGAGGTATTAACTAACTTCAGTGTCGTAGTCATTCCCAAACGTATACGTGTATCAAATCATCACCTTGTACACCTGAAATTTACATACATTGTATGTCAACAATATCTCAATAAAGCTTGAAAAAATAATGTCTTCAGCTGATGGGAAAGACGACCGGCTGATACCGGCTCAACTCCTTCATAGACACTTCTCTTAAAATGTTTTAAAATTGAAACACTTAAAAATATTCATAAAAATTTTAAGTTAAAAATTAAATCAAAATTTTCAAATGAAAAAAATTCAATTTGTTTTAAATTTTAAAATGACAACATTTAAAAATCCTTTCTAGAAAAGCTTCCTGCTGAGCTTTTGAGAAGAGGTTCCCTGCAGGGTGTGTGCATATGAGTCAGTGTTGTTACCTGGAGGAAGGTCTTGGCCCATAACCGTGATCTGACTTTTAGGACGGCGCTTTCTCCTCCTTCTAGTCGCCCCACCACGCAGGAGATTTGTAAGCACTCGATATTTGTACAATTCTGCAAAAAACACAACAGCGATGTCTTTAAATTGTGGTAGAAGATCAGCATTGAAGTCAGTTTATCTACATTGCATTTTCTCAGAAGTCACCGCCTAATCCATAAATTACTCATTTAAATAACAAACAACTGCAGTGAAACAGCTTGGTAGTAATGATGCATCAATTTTACTGGTAACAAAATTTAAGCTTTTTTTTTGCCCCTAAGAACTTAAAACAATCTTCCTGCAGCAGTGATTGGACTGTTTTCATTTTCTCAGAACTTGGGAAGACATTTCTTATAGACATTTACAACACCTGACCCTAAACTAAGCAAGCCCTGAAATGGCTTCAGACAAAGCTCCCTGTGTCTAGATTATCTCAAAGACTCAGTGTTAGCAACGCATGGACAAGCATATCTCTATAACATTCTTCTCCCTAAATTACTTCCTGCTTATAAAGCAGAATCTTGCAGATTCCATCCATTAAGCTATTTTTAAACTAGTTTCTAGGTTTGCCAATTTATAATGGGTAACTTTTCCTATATGAGATGCATCTTTCTGGGAAGTATTCATTAAACCGATGACATTCTACCTGTCAAATCATATTTTCTGATTGGATCCAGTATGGAAATAAATGGACAACTCACCTCCATTTTCTGTGTACCCATGTGTAGGATGATACTTCTTGAATTGTACTCCCTTGCTGATTTTAATTTAATGCATAGGCTATACTCTATTTCTCATGTCTCAGGCACTGGGCACTGGCCTATAGATGCTCAATAAACATCAGTTTATTGGACATTATGTGCAGGATTTAACGGAGGCATTTCAATTTTTAAAAAAAAATTTTTTTTTCAATGTTTTTTATTTATTTTTGGGACAGAGAGAGACAGAGCATGAACGGGGGAGGGGCAGAGAGAGAGGGAGACACAGAATCGGAAACAGGCTCCAGGCTCCGAGCCATCAGCCCAGAGCCCGACGCGGGGCTCGAACTCACGGACCGCGAGATCGTGACCTGGCTGAAGTCGGACGCTTAACCGACTGCGCCACCCAGGCGCCCCAGAGGCATTTCACTTTAAGTAATGGATAAGCCACAGAGGTACATGTTGCCATGAAAATCTTTTTCAAGAATCTCAGAATTCTCTAAAAGCAAAGCAGTCAGTAATGTGTATCTGGTAAATTCTGGGAAGGCCAAATTTCTACATGCTATTTCCAAATTGAGGTGGCTGGGATTTTTGTTCTACTTGGGCTGGGTGCTGAGGTGTTTGGGGTTTTGTGCCTCCAGCAGGAGCAGGAGTCCTGCAGTCCCTGTCACCTGTGAGGACCTGCATGTTTACCTGCGCTCCATTACTGACAAGCTGTGTATCTCCAATCCCACCCTCTGGAGGCAGAGGAGGGGAGTGGGAAGGAGGTGATTCTTATAAATCCCTGGAGCTGTTGATCCTGGTGAGCTAGCTCAGTTGGAGGATTCTGGAGACGGTGGTGCTCAGAATGAACCTTGAAGGGTGAGAAAGAGTGAGCTAGGCAGATGAGGACAAGACCAGTGCGTGTTCAGAAAAGAGGAGAGAAGGGTATTTGGGGCAGGGTGGACAGGTGGAAATGAGATAGGAATGAGAGAAAGTCTAGGTGGTAAAGAATTTTCCTATTTGAGCCAAGGAATTGTATCCAGAAGATCCCATTTAAGCAAGAGTTATGATTGGGTGTGTGTTTTAGGGGCAGGTGGTACGTGAGGCAAGAATGGCAGGAGGAGAGCAGGAAGCAAGGAGGGTGATAAGGGCTTGTTGCAAGAGTCCAAGTGGGAGGCAAGGAGGCTCTGAACCAACGCTGTGGGGATGGAGAGAGGAAGACAAAGTTAAGGGCAGCTCAGGAAGCAGAACGGGATAGTTGGTGACAAATTGGAGATCTTGATGAAGAAGAGTGAGGATTGGGGGGGGAGCCCTTTTGGCTTGGGGAACTGAGTGGATGGGCACCGGCATTACTGAGGTGGGGAATTCTAGAGAAGCACGTTCTGGGGATCATGGAGACGGTGTTTTGGACATGTTGGGACTGGCGTGGCTATTAGACATCCAGACAAACATGTACGCTGCACCCCTCGGGTCCAGAGTGCAGCAGGGATGGCTAAGATGGCAGGAGGCACGTGGGTATGGCTGGAGTTATGATCTTGCAAAACATTTCTCTTAAAGAGTGAAGTTGGTGGGGGAGGGGTGGGGCCCAAGGATGGAATGCAGAGGTACAGGGGCGGATAAGAAGCCCAAGAACAATTCTAAGAAGACGCAGGCCAACAGGCTAGAAGAGAACCAGGGGAGGAGGTTTTTGGGGGAGGCCAAGGGATGCAACTGTTGCAGGAAGCGGTTAATAGTATCCTATGCAGAAGAAGGTTTGAAAGATAAGGTTTCTGTAAGCTGAGTAGGGAAAGGACAAGAAGAAAGCCTGGAGATGAGGAGATGGGGTGGTCACTACAAGAGCAGCAGGGGCCCAGGATGAGAAAGGCAAGGACATTCTTAGGTGGAGGAGAAATTATATTTCAGTGCTAACGGATACAAATTTTTCCTATGCAAAGTGGAAATTATGATCCCAACACAGGATGTTGGCATTTTGCACTTTCAAATTCCTAATCAGAAATGGGATTCAGTAAGTTGTTTTTAACTAAACAAAAACCATAGGAGGTCTTATTTAACTTTTGATTTTAGAATAAACTTTGTATAATCACTTTCTATCCAGGACTGTTTTGACTTGAGGACATGGGGAGGCAGAGGATTTGCAATTTTCAAACCAATAAGAGAGAAAGAGAATAAAGCATGAGTTCATAAGGTCAGACATGGAAATCAAAAACTGCCTTGCTGTCATCTGCAAGTAATAAGTTTCTATGATATTCAGAAATTAAAAATCATCTTGCCTTAAAAATCCTTAATGAGAAAGAACAGGAGGGGGGGAGAAAACCTAACCCTACAACAGAAGTGCATATAATTTTCAAGAGAATTTTAGTTACTGATCCCTACTGCCTCTGTGAACTCATGAGACATACACTATAATGGAAGTTGATTTTTCTAAATTGTTGGTTCCCATATAGGTCTGGGCACTGGTTCTCCAGAGGGCGTTCGCATTGGTACTGCAAATTAGAGAACTCTGTAGATGCCAATCATTGTTTTTCTTTTTTAAAAATTAAATTATAAATTTTTTTACTGAGGTATAATTGATTAATTTTATTGAGGCATAATACACATAACGTATTAGTTTCAGGCGTACAACAAAATGATTTGGTATTTGTATATATTGTGAAATGATTGCCACAATAAGTCTAGTTAATATCCATCCTCACAGACAGTTACAGTTTTTTTAATGATAACTTGTAAGATCTCCTCTCTTAGCAAGTGTCCAGTATGCAATGCAATATTATTAGCTGTAGCCACCATTCTGTATGTCACATCCCCAGGACTTAAATCATTGTTTTCTGTTCTTTTGTCCCTCCTGGAAGCTTCCCTAAAATAATAATATGCAAAATTGTATTATTTTATCCTAAGCTGAAGAGCGTATCAATTTCCCTACTCTCGGGTTTTGAAAAACATGACCATGCCATAAAAATTTATAGGGACTCGGGGGCACCTGGGTGGCTCAGTCGGTTGAGGATCTGACCTCAGCTCAGGTCATGACCTTGTGGTTCCTGAGTTTGAGCCCCACGTCGGGTTCTCTGCTATCAGTGCAGAGCCCGCTTCGGATCCTCTGTTCCCCTCTCTCCCTGCACCTCCCCCACTTGTGTTTTCTCTCTCTGTTGCTCAAAAATAAATGAATATATGTATATATATATATATATATGCTGTATATATATATATATATATACTGTATATGTGTGTGTGTGTGTGTGTGTGTGTGTGTGTGTGTGACTTAAAAATTTTAAAGACTTGAAAAAAAATCTGCCAATGACTTTTGGCCAGGTTACTTCAGCTACTTCTATTATAATAAACATTCTTCCCTTGATTTCAGTTTAACTGAATAAGTCAGACTTGCTTGTTGTATTTTTCTGTCCATCTCTGCATTTGAAACTTTTTATGAATGTTAGAACATGTTCAAGACAAACATTAAAAAATTTTTTAGCCTTTTTAAAAAATGTTTTTATTTATTTTGAGAGAGAAAAAGAGTGAGAGAGAGAGAGAGAGCACAAGGGCAGGGGAGGGGCAAAGAGAAAGGGGAGAGAGAGAACCCCAAGTAGGCTCCGTGCTGTCAGCACAGAGCCTGACACAGGGCTCGAACTTAAAACTGTGAGATCATGACCTGAGCCAAAATGAAGAGTCAGACGCTGAACTGACTGAGCCACCCAGGTGTCCCACATTTTAGCCTCTTTTAAGTGTAGAGGTTGGAGGTATTAACATTGACCTTGGAAGGAGTGAGAGAACTGAACAGAAACTGACTCTTGAGCACTCTTTCAGTTTTGCAAAGGGCTGACTAAGCTCAGGACGGATCTCTGACATCCCCCAGTGCTAAGACTCTGTAGGATTTTGGCCCAGGAAATCAGAAGGCCCCCTTCTCATCTCTTCTGGGCGAGCAGAGGAGCGTGAGATGTAGGGGCACGTCTGACCTCCCAGGACCCGCTGCCCACAGCTTCTTTCGCACTCTTGTGCTCAGTGTCTGGGGACAGGCTCACAGAGAGAGCTTTGTGTTCTGCAAATGCATTCCCCGCCGTGGTTTACGTTCTCATCATTATTTCTCTAACATGGTCTGCGTGGCAGGTGGAGAAGAGTGAAAACCCTGTAATGCAAATACTCCTTTGTCCCCTTGGAAACGTCGCTTTCATGGCTCACTTCGTGTAGGGCCAAGACATGGTGGGCCTACCTGGGCACTGACTGACAAGGAGAAACTGTAGTTGCAGTTAAACCATCTGTGTTTGGGAGTTCTGTCCTATGCACCCTTTCCTCTCCCATGCGCGCGCACTGAGACAACTCACGAGGATTTTTGCGGGGCTCTGTCTACGGGGCTCTGGCACACGCACGTCTCTCTTCCTGACAAGATGAGGGATGGTCGAGTTCCGCAGAAAGGCGCTCAGCTCGGGGGTGTCCTCTGGGGGGGTGGCGGGCTGCAAAGAGAAAGCAAGAGATGGCATGTCAGTCTCATAAATGCTTGCCTCCTTTCCATCAGCCTTGAACTTGAGGCATTTTTCCCCCTCAACTGGCCATGAGTCACATGAGAAGTCAGACCTGTCCTGATTTACCAGCAGCATGTTCAACAGCAAAATGAACTGTGCCGACAAGGACCAAGGCTTCCCATCCTCCAACGATAGGAACTCCTGAAGGATGGGGAATGCATTCCTGGAAAATTTATCTCGTAAGGGTCCGATTTTAGCAGAAGTGATTTCCCCATTAGGGGGTGACTTTTCAAGTAGGAGTCATTTACTTGTTACTTTACTCTCATTGTATATTGGGACTGGTGAAACTCAGGAACCTTCTGTGTGGCGAGACGGATCCTGAGGTGGCAGGAAAGTGAGGCGATGGCCATAGGGAAACGGCGTGATGTGGTCAGGGACCCAACTTTGGCATGTCTGAGCCCCACACTCCTACAGTTGTAAAACATTCTCCCTCAGGAGTGAATCGTGTTCTAATAAAAACGACTTTTCCAAAGCATGCCAGATGAACACTGTGCTGTGAGGGAGCTTGTTTTTAGCCCTGAGTTTGTTTTGTGAGTGTTCTAGAACTTATGATTTTTATCTGAGGCTCCATGCTGGGTACATCTGATAGCTGAATAAATATTTTTAAAGTTCCAATAAATCTCACACAATATCCTATTAAAACTCTTCATTTTAAACCAACTGAATATAGAACCTTAATTTTCTGTCTCCCTAGGTTCCCCAAACACGTTTTCCTTTCTAGTCCCAGGAAAAATAATAGTATGCTTATTTCTATGGGATGAAAAAAGATATTCTTATATTGCAGATGTAGGATGCACCACAAAAAATGAAATGAGAGTGCTCAGTGTGTCGTAAGAACCTAGAAAAATCTAGTGGATAAACAGGTAGAGTCCAGACTCCTTAGTATGCCATGCATAGCCTACTTCTCCAGCCTCATTTCTTAACCAAGAGCCCTTCACGTCCTGCTTTGCACAGGATGCACAGAACCTCCATCCACTCCTGATGTGCACCAGGCTGATTCCCAATCCCCTGTTTGATATCCCACATGATGGCTCCACTCCCCCATCAGTACCCATCAAGCTGTATAGTAACTGCTGATGAGTTGCCCAATGAGAAGATGTAAAATAATAAGGATAGGGTTACATATAACATCAAAGGAAATATCAGGAAACAGGGAGAGGAAGAAGATCCAGGGAGGAAAAGTAAGATGGGGGAAATTGGATGTAAGAGACAATCCAAGAAAGTATGGATCTAGGGAAGCCCAAGGAAAAGGAAGTTGCAAAAATAAAGAGTGACTGAGGATGTCCAATCCTGCAGCCAAGTAAAGAATTAGGACTAAAAGGAGTCATTAAGTTTGTCACATAAGAAAGTGACACATCATCTAGCAGTTCCCCTCTGTGTATTCATCCGAAGAAAGGGAAAACACGAGCTTGAAAAGATCTATGCACCTCCATGGTCACTGAAGCACTACTTATAGTAGCCAAGATATGGAAGCAACCTAAGTGTCCATTGGAGATGACTGAATAAAGATGTGGGGCGCACACACACACACACACACACATACACACAAATATTATCCAAACATTAAAAAAAAGAAGAAAATCCTGCCATTTGCGAAAACATGGATGACCTCACGGGCATTATGTTAAGTGAACTAAGACAAAGAAAGATAAATATCATGTGGAATCTAAAAAAAAAAAAAAAAGACCACCCCAAATCACCCCAAACCCAAACTAAACCTCTAACTCATAGATACAGAGAACAGGTTGGTGATTGCACAGTTGGGGGACTAGGGAGGGGGGTGAAATGGGTGAAAGTGGTCAAAAAGTACAAACTCGCAGTTATAAAATAAACAAGTCCTAGGGGTGGAATGTAGAGCTCAGTGACTACAATTAATATCGCGCTGTGTATTATTCCTGTAGCGGTCGCAGTAGCAGTAAAATAATAGCCCATAGAGAAGAAAACTCTTCAGCTTCCTGTGTGGTTGCATCAGATGCAGCTTGTGCACAGATAAATAACATGTTTGTGGTGGCCCCTGGTGCGTCATCACTTACAAATACTTAGGAGTGGTCTCTCAGCAAAACACAGGACTTACTCTGAGCCAGAGAATGAGCGAGACCCACAGCAGGGGCTGGTAAAACATGCTTCTTTCTTTTAGCGATATTGTTTTACAGATAGAGGAATGTCCCTCCTAAACACCACACTGAGAATGTCTTCCAGTGACTTCCAAACCAGTGTTCTGAAGTGGCATTCCAGAAATTGTTTCAAGATACAAAACAAAAACCCAAAACACAAAACGAACCAAAACCAAAAAAAACAAGGGAGACGTTATCCAAGAAATGTAAATAACAGGTACAGCCTATTTTCTAGATGAACTTTTGGAGCCTGTTTCACAATTGATTGTGAAACCACAGGTCATGTGTTTCCTTAATCTGAAATCCTTAGCGGTGAGGGCCTTTTAGCACCCCTGTTAGGCATACGTTCGGTGCAGAATACAATTTGCTAAGTGGTCCGAGCAGCTGGTGGCAAACACTCAAGTATCTTCTTCAGAACAAATGTGAAAATTGCTCCTTTCTGTAATAAGGAAATGATTGTTAGTAAATACGGTTCTTTCCCCCCAGCTGCTACTCAGATTTTGACTCCAACAGTTTTCTATTTTCATGACTCTTCGCCAAGCTCTTCACTCTGGGCTACGTTTAAATTTATGAATTAAAGGGATACTGGATAGCTGGATTGTGCAAGACAGCTGGAAATGCAGCTTTTGAAGAACACAGTTGGGTGAGATAAGATTAAGGGCTCTTTGAACCCAAACAAACACAACGCATGCTCTCGTCTTCTTGTTTGTGATTTGTCTTTGCACCTCAGGTAGTCCTAGTTCACAAAAGATGGTGGACTTTCTTTCATATAACTCTTCGTCTATAATTAAGTCGAAGTAGGGACAGACCATGGAGGTCAGTCTACCATGTAATTTTCCTTAAGACATAAATGTTAAGGATTTGTCAGGAGAGGAAAAAAAATCCACTTTTTTTTTAAAACATTCTGAAAAGTTCATGCGAAGAATGACTAAAAGAATCCATTCACTCCATTGGCGATTTTGAAGCTTTTCTTAGTTGTGGGACATGTTTTTGCATTTTAAAATTTACAGGAGGACCTGAAGACCATCTTAAAGAGAAGATAAGGCAGGGGCACCTGGGTGGCTTGGTCGGTTGAGCATCTGACCTCGGCTCACGTCTTGATCTTGCCGTTCCTGAGTTCCAGCCCCGCGTCAGGCTCACTGCTGTCAGCCTGTTAGTGCAGAGCCCGTTTTGGATCCTCTGTCCCCCTCTCTCTGTCCCTCCCCCACTTGTGCTCTCTCAAAAGTAAGTAAGCATTTGAAAAAGAGAGAGAGAAGATAAGGCAAAGAGAAATTGACCCTGGAGAGTGTATTCCCTTTGGTGGCTGAAAATCGGACCTATAGGCACTGTTAAAAATAAAAGGTGGGGCACCTGGGTGGCTCAGTTGGTTAAGTGTCCGACTTTGGCTCAGGTCATGATCTCATATTTGTGAGTTTGAACCTCACATCGGGCTCTGTGCTGACATCTCAGAGCCCACTTCTGATCCTCTGTCTCCCTTTCTCCTCTGCCCCTGCCCTGCTCAATCTCTCTCTCTCAAAAAATAAACATTAAAAAAATTTTAAAAAGTGAATGAAATAATTCTATCAAGGGGAACATGAGAGAGAGAGGAGAGAACACAAGTGGGTTGGGAGCTGTAACCAGTGTTCCTGCATTCTGAATTAATAAGAAGCAGTAAGTAAATGGAGGCAGTAATGAAGGAAAAAAATTCTCTTAAGTGTAAGACACAACTGCAAATTTGCCAAGCCAAGCCACAGTCTATGTGCTCACCGATTAAAAAAAAAAAAGAAATAGAAAAACCAACAACTAGTTGTAGAGCTCTAATCCTTGGCAAACGGCCTCTGTGTTTCTGTGTCCACGTTTGTACTATCTGGTTGTAATTCGGGCTTCCTGTGAGAATGATCTGGTTCCAGACAGTTGTAACCTTCTGCCTTCCAGGCTCCAAGGTCCGTTCTTTGGGCAACAGTGGCTTTCTCTCTTGTTGCCGTCATCCTAGCCCAGCCTCTGTCCGATCCTTTGTGCCTCCGGCTTCTTTCTTGCGCTGGGGCCCAGAACGTGGTGCCCTGATCTCCGTGAAGGTTGAATTCCCGCACCTCGCTTGTCCCCCGCCTCCCCGGGGTACAGTCTGACATTGCGCAGCCCTTTTGTCCAGTTCTCATACTTGGCTGTTGGTGACGAAATCTTGCCAACTTCAAAAAACATCCTTTACTCTTTATTCAACTTTGGTTCCTAAATAACGTTCGCTTTTTCAGCTACATCTTATTGAGACATCATAGCTTGTCTGGAGGACTCCCCAAACCCCAGGATAAAGTTCACCAAAATAAGATAATGGATAGTTTGAAATCATTCTTTGACTGCCTTTCGAATGGTTGAGAAATGCTGTATCCAACTGTAGAAATTTATTTCAAGAAGGATCTGGAATGAATTAGATGTAATGGATTGGTTGGGAATGCTGCAGACAGTTGAATGTTTCACAGTGTTTTAGATGGTACAACGTGAAGAGATTGCCGCGTTAAAATACTGTCTCTGGGGGCGCCTGGGCGGCTCAGTCGGTTAAGCGTCCGACTTCAGCTCGGGTCATGATCTCACGGTCCATGAGCTCGAGCCCCGCATCGGGCTCTGTGCTGACTGCTCGGAGCCTGGAGCCTGTTTTGGATTCTGTCTCCCTCTCTCTCTGCTCCTCCCCTGCTCGTGCTCTCTCTCTCAAAAATAAATAAATAAACATTAAAACAAAATTAAAAAAAAAAAAATCCTGTCTCTGAAGCCTGGAGGCAGAACCTTCACGGCCATCTTCTTATGCCCCTAAGTTCTTAGAAGACAGAGAGATGAACTTGATGAAGTGAAACCATCATGGGAAGAACAGAAAACAAAACACAGCAACCATTTGGTTGCGTTCACTTCTGGGTGGCAGAAGTGAAAGCAGGAGTGAATGTCCAGGTGCTGCCCCGCCCTCTGGTCCCCCTGTGCTGGGTTGTGTGGCTCACTCACTTTTCCTGAACCCCATCACCTGCACATGCTCCCATTTACCTTCACACTTGGGTGTTTGAACAGCATCAACAAAGCAGGCTAAGCGAATCCCCACAGAGCCTGATATGAGGCAAGTATTTAAAAAACAACTCACAAACTTCTAGAGGCATTTGAGTGTGTCCTTGCCTGCACCCCACACCCCCCAAATTTAGTCACTGATGCTCTGTATTTGGGCAATGAGTGTGGGTGAGAACTTCTGCCCCTTGTCTCCCATGATCATGGTGGTGACTTTCAAAGGCAGACTGCTCTTCAAACTTTGGGGACATTTGGGCCACTTGGTGGGATAATGAAACTGTGCCGGTCACTGTTTGGAAGACTGAATTCTGTTCAGACCTTATCAGACTTTGAGGTTTATGTGAGGAGACTCACATTTGGAATGCATGTTCAATTTACAGATGGGTTATATTTCAGATGATTTTAGACTAGGTGTTTGGCACTCTGAATGCATTTCTCTTTAGAAGCAATCTTTTAAATGGTGGTTCAGTTTTCAGGCCAGCCCACAAAAAAACCCTTACTTTATCTACAATATGGCTTTGATGAGTAAAACTATGTATTTTCAATAAAAAACAAAGCCAGGAGGTTGCTATAGGAGTAATTTTTTTTTAAAAAGCAGAAAGAAGCCATATTGTGTTAAATACATTAGTTATATTAAATGCTATTAGATGTAATTAGGCAGAAAGGAGAAATTATTTTGAAATGTTGTAGAGCGTCTGCAGGGGATATCTGGGGAATTGCAAAGGTTTTAGAGTTGGTGGTGGTAGGTACTTGGAGCGGATGGCCTAGAAAATGCTTCTAAGGAAATCTGGACGGTTTCTTTATCATCAGCACATTTCCTGAGACATTTGTGGGAGCTGCAAAGAGGCAATGAAGAAGGGAGCTACTTTCAGTAGTTAAGTTGGAAAAATGAGAATACATACAGAAGGGGGAAGTGGACAAAAAGGTGTTTGTGACCCCGAGAGAAAGGGGTTTTGCTGCGGGGAAATCAGTTGAATGGTTGGAGAGGCAAACATGGTGGGGAACTTGAAAATCGTCCAGAGGATACTTGAGAAAGTTGCTGTGGGAGCTTTCCCTCTGACAGACCCGTGGCTGGCCTGGGATATTGTGGTGGCTTATCCAGTGGGGACTGCAGTATCCTCAGGAAGAACTTAGAGAAAATGAACTGCTTGTAGATGCAGATGTTTTAGGAGGCACTCACTAATTATTGCTCTATTTATAAAGAAATTGTAGGAGCACCTGGGTGGCTCAGTCAGTTAAGCATCCTAGTCTTTTTTTTTTTTTAATGTTTATTTTTGAGAGATAGAGACAGAACACGAGTGGGGGAGGGGCAGAGAGGGACGGAGACACAGAATCCGAAGCAGGCTCCAGGCTCTGAGCTGTCAGCCCAGAGCCCCATGCGGGGCTTGAACTCTCGAGCCGTGAGATCACAATCTGAGCCAAAGTCGGATGCTCAACCGACTGAGCTACCCAGGTGCCCCAAGCATCCTATTCTTGATTCTAGCTCAGGCCATGATCTCACGGTTCCTGAGATTGAGCCCCAAGTTGGGCACAGCACTGAGCATGGAGCCTGCCTGGCATTCTCTCTCTCCCTCTGTCTTTGCCCTTCCCCTGCTCAAGCTCTCTCTCTCTCTCTCTCTCTCTCTGTCTCTCTCAAAATAAATAAATAAACTTAAAAAAAAAAAGAAATTATAGAACCGAATCATAAGGAATTTTACCTTGGTGGGCAAATGAGATTGATTATTGATTACTAGGATTTAATTTTTGCCTAGATGAATGTATTTTGACTGCCTGTTCCTTTTGCTACACCCACTCTTTCTCTGCTTCCTAAAGAACTAAGTTAAAAAAAGTATATTTATTTTAAAATATCTATATTAAAAATATAGCAATTAACTTTGATGTAAGGATCTGAAATTGATACCTAAGTTAAAAAAGTTTCCCACACCTATTCTAGATCTAATAAATAATTTGTTCTTTGCTAATTTCAATTCATATTTAAGACAGAGAAAAGAATGTTTAGCTCTGTATTATCTAGGAAGAAATAAATTGTCAAGTAAGTTTATAGCAACTTCACCAAGAAATTATTTAATATCTTAAGCAGAAAATAACTTTCAGGTACTCTCAGCTTTTGATAGCTGCTGATATAAAATTTACTGATAATTAATTTTTAAAATCTATTCACTGACAAAATCCCTTTTAGACTGTCCGGGTTATACATGCTACATATAAGTAAAGGTACTTGGAGTACCTGAAATTAAAAACACTTCAAGTTTTTCATTATTCTGAATTTTAAGAATTCATGAATTGTTATCATTTGTTATTTTGGGGAGCTATTCCTTCACCCTGTAATCAAATCTTCTTATATTCAATTTCCACAAATTGAGAGTTTTATAAAAGCATAATTAAGTTGCATTTAAAAAATTACTAGCCTTAGGTTTTTAAAAGATGTTTATTTATTTATTTTGAGAGAGAGAGAGCATGCTTGAGTGGGCAAGGAGCAGAGAGAGAGACAGAGGGAGAGAGAGAGAATCCCAAGATCCCGAGCCCCAATCGGGGCTCGATCTCACGAAGCGTGACATCATGACCTGAGCCAACATCAAGAGTCAGACGCTTAACTGACTGAGCCACGCAGGCACCCCCTAGCCTTAAAGTTTAAAGAAAATCTGTGTGGCAGGGAATGCAGGTGCACAAATCTGTCAACACTGAAGGCAAACTATCTATTGGTATTGTTCCAGTCACTGCGAATAATTGTTAAATCGCAAGAAAAAAGAATTCATAACCAACATGGGTCATATCACATAGGTTACATAAAATATACAAACATATATAAATAGTGTCATATATAAACCAAACATTACACTTGCGAGTTTAGAAACCTTCCCCATGATCACGTGCTCCAGGAATCCACGACTGAAGTAGAGAACCCAGTAACTACAGCACATGAAATGTGAAAGCTTTAATTGCTTAGATGTTACACATTATTAACATTTGAAGATGTTACTTTATAGTAAGCCACTGTCCTTGAAGACATTAAAATCATCTCAATGAAGAGCCAAGAGAGAGGAAATGAAAAAAAAAAATTCAGGGAGGCAGTATTTTACATAATTTTGTGGAATACAAGTGGCCTTATTTATTATTTCCCCTTGAAGAAGGAGACTTTTTGCCCTATAAATCCTTTAATTCTGAACCCCTTTTACTCTTCCTCTCTTGGAATAGAAGGCATGTTGGGTTGAAGAAGAAAGCCTTTCATAACTGGCCACGTCTCAGCACCACCTGTTTGAGGAGAGGCAGACCCGCGTTCCAAATGGTTGAGTTAGTATTTCATGAAGCGCCATTTCTAACAGAGACACTGTCTCCCTGAGCTACTAGACAATGTTCATTCTTAACACGAAGTTCTCTTTTGAGGATAACATCGGGTTACAAATGTTTTTTTCCCCCTCCATTCAAATGTGATATTCTCCAGCGTTGATGCTAATTATGTTCTTTTCTTCCCAGAAGAAACTTAAAGCCAGATTTGGATCTTAATCTGAATGAGATAAGCTCCTTGGACATTTGAGCTCCCAGCATGGATGTCAGGTGGGGGTTGCCGAGGGGCAGAGTTTCAGGCCCCCCTCAGGCCCTGCCTCTAAACAGACCTCCAGGTGATTGGCTATGCTTAAGAATTGGAAAAATACTGCTCTAGGCTTCTCTATAAGCTGCACTGAAGAATGGGGTCCAGAAATTTCCAGTCTGGGGGTTCTCAGGGCACTGAGATGGCCTTTGGCAAATTATCGCATTTTACTACTTGCTATTGGCAACATCTGGAGAAGCCCATTTTGGCAAAGATCCTTATATCTTTTGGCAATGTACCAAAAGGACTCCAAAAATAGCATTTGGTACGAATTCTCCAAAACACGACATGTCTACTTATGATTTTGGTTTGGTTGTGCTGCAAGTCAAACCATATGCAAAAGGTACACATTCAAATAGACTAAATAAATGACAGGTCGCCATGAGCAACAGAACCAAGAGAAATGTAAGTTTTCTAGGAGTGACAGTTTAAGTTAGGTCTGGCATTTTAGCCATAAAACGAAAAGAAAAGGCTGGACAGATTATCACTGAAAGAACTTACTCTTGTAATTATTTTGCCTTAAAAAATAAAAGCTACAGTTTTAATTTTTTTTTCCTTACCCTAATAAACAAGCAGAACAGCTTAGTTGGACCAGGCTCCTACCTTTATATCTAGTGGGTTGATGTCAGGATTTGTTTGACACTGCAGAGGTCCGAGAGTTTGAATATGAAAAATGTAGAGGAGAAATTCATCCCGGGCAGAGAATGGCCAGCCCACCTCCAGGAGAGTGTCACTGATGGTACTCGGTCCAATATTGTGCAGCTACAAACAAGGAACACATCAAATGATGGTACAGCACAAAACAGAAAGATGAAACCAAACGCCACATACTTCATGCCCAGTCTAAAGAAGCACGTATTTTTGGCTTTAATGCATCTGGGCTACGATAGTGGCTATACGAAAACAGAATCTTTATCAGCCAGAGATGCTCCGAAAACAGGTGCTGGTGCTCAGACAAGAATCTTCCATTTTATGAAGCTCTCAGGGCAGATTTCCTTAGCAAAGACCATGCAAAGACCAGGTCCGATGATGATGTTTACCTTAAGTTTATATTAATTTAATCACAGTGCTAGAAATGCAATTTTAATTATGCGCTTTCAAAACCTAGTTACTCTTTCTTTACATTGAAATCTGCCGTTTTCCTGACTACCGACTTGTCAATTGTAACCATCTGTGGTGCACTGTCTTTCACCCTCTGGAAAAATGGTTATCCATCAAATGCTAAAGACCGTCCAGCCTCACCACAGTTCACTGCAAGTGTGCATTTCAAAGCTGGGCTTCTTCTGTTTTAATCAGTGAATCTCAAAGAAAGGCCACATCTCATAAAGAGATGAGCATTTTAAACACATGAATCCTATACTCACAGGACACAAAAAACAGCTTGAGAAGTTCACTAAATGTATTTAAATTTCTTGTGGTTTTGAAAATTCACTTCAAAGTTAGCAGGAAACTTTTGCCCCCCCTTTTTTTTTTTTCACAGTTCTGATCATTATACTGATCAATGAAACAATTTATAATTGGTTTTGCTTATTAGGCGGCTCACTTAGTTCACATTATCAGAGCAACATGACATCCACTGATAACAGTGTATTTTGAGACATGAGAATAGCATGGAAGAAACATGTGACGATTGCTTTGTCACCATGGATTATTACCCTAAAATCTTATGATCCGTTTCTTCTAAGATTAGAAGCAGGGCTTCCCTGAGAATCACTGAGCTTGAATATGGTGGCAGACTTTAAAGTTTCACCCTTCTTAAGCAGAAACTGGTGCACATAAGTTTCATCAATTATTTGACAACATTTTTTTTTTCTTTTCCAGCGAGGTTCTTAATCCGAGTGGCCTTGGGGACTATGTTATCCTTTTGCTATAAAGAGAGTTTAGGGCAAAGCTTTGATCCAGCTTTGGACAGGGCTGATTCTGAACCTCAGGTTGGGCAGATGACAGAGGTTTTCGTGTTGACGCTGTGCAGGAGTTGATGCCTCTTTCCCACATATGTAAACAGCTCATCAGTTTTGAAATGGCTTCATTGTTAACCTTAGAGAATGCTATTCATGTCCCTTGTAGCTTGAGATGAAAGTCACAGTCAGGATTATTAGGTCAGTGGAATGAGTTACACAGGAAACAGACAGCATTAAATAAAAAGGGACCTCAAACAGAAGACGGCTTGGAGCATCATTTTTACCAAAATTCTATTCCTGATCCTTTGACAATGAACAGGAATAACTACTCTCCACTAATGGTATTTATTTTATTAAAAAAAAAAAAAAAAAAAAAAAAGAACAACTACTGAACTAGCCCTTTACTACATATTAGTTTCTAACTCTAAGAAATTTAAATGTTTCAGTAATTTTTGTAATGTTTATTTATTTTTGAGAGACAGAGACAGACAGATCGTGAGCAGGCAAGGGGCAGAGAGAGAGGGAGACACAGAATCTGAAGCAGGCTCCAGGCTCTGAGGTGTCAGCACAGAGCCCGACGCGGGGCTCGAACTCAGACTGAAAGATCATGACCTGAGCTGAAGTCAGGTCGCTTAACTGACTGAGCCACCCAGACTCCCCTAAGAAATTTATATGTTTCAGATGATGTGTCAACAAAGTTACTCCCTATTCACAATTTAACACTTGAAGTAGAAAAAGATCATCAGGGCTTTTTCATGAGCTGCTGGGTTCCTTCTGGAAAATATTTTTCTAATTGAGGACTACTTCAAATCTCAGAATAAGTTATATATATATATGGTTATAAGTTATATATATGGGTTTTAATATATATATATATGTATGTATATATGTGTGTATATATGTGTGTGTATATATACATACACATATATATATATACATACATATATATATATATATAGTACAATAGTGAATAATCCATAAAATCTTCTCTGTCTGGTACCTTCTGGTTGGTGACTTTCAGTTTAAGAGATGGGTAGGTTTTAAATGTTTCTACATTTGAAAATGTAGGAAGAGGCAAAATACAGTTTAGGAAGCTAATCATTTTGATGCTTAGGCTGTCCAAACGTTAAGAGGAATTAAGGAACATTTAAAAGAGAACAGTAGGGGCGCCTGGGTGGCTCTGTCGGTTAAGCATCTGGCTTTGGCTCAGGTCATGATCTGGTGGTGCTTGGGTTCAAGCCCCACATCAGGCTCAGCGCCTGGAGTCTACCTCAGATTGTGTCTCCCTTTCTCTGTGCCCTCCCTTGCTCATTCTCTCTCTCTCTCTCTCTCTCTCTCAAAAATAAAAACATTAAAAAAAATCTATAATAAAAAGAGAACAGTAACAAGATAAAATAGTCTCACTACATAACGGCTCTTACCACTAAAAAGCAAGCGACTCATACAGTCCCCCGCTCCAATATGATAGCAGCATATAAAGCTCAGATCTTGGATCGGTGTCTTTCAAAATGTTACTAAGAGCTTATTGGTAAAGAGTGTAAGAGAACACTCCCAACACAGCTTTAAGACAGACGAAAGCTACCTCATAAATATGTTCCACCACTGGTCCAACTCCCTCCTCTTTGTGGAGCTCCTCTTCTGGTTCCCAGTTAGGAACGGGCAGAACGATCTGCGGAGGGTGCGACACTCTGAAACATGGAGCGTTTTGTTAATTGCTGCTGATGACACAGGTGAAGAAGGCTTCACTAGTGGACAGTATACGAACAGCAACTGGACAAAGTGGCCCTCCATTTATTTGAACTATTGAACTACAGCCTTATAGTCTATATAGACTTATAGACTGTTTGAACTATAGACTTATTTGTCTATAAGGAAAAAAAGTATGGAAAGTGATGTCTAGCAAAACAGCTAAAGGAACAGTAAAGGATCTAAAACATCTTCCGAAGGCTCTTAATTCCTAGTCTCTAGCTCAGAGGTGGACTATTTTATAGTATCTCATCTCTTGGGCACTAGGGGGCAGAGTGGAGAGCATTCCTGAGTTGAGATGGATAATTAAACATATACACATATAAATGTATAGAGCTACCTATAGGTCCTGTGCAAGTGTATGAGTGTGTGTGTGTGTGTGTGTGTGTGTGTGTGTGTGTACAGGATATAAATCCCTGCTTCAAGCCATACCAAGAACTGGGACTTTTTTTTGTGGATAAAAATCTAGAATACCGTGTGGTGTGTTAAATAATGAGTTGTGAAGAAATGTAGTTTTTAATTAAATACTTCAGAGGAGAAAAGCAGCCACTTGTATAATCCTCCTTCTGAGATTTCTTGGGCTTTCCCCAAGGCTAGGCCCAGAGCCAAAATAAAGCCCGATGGAGTTCTAGAGTTGTCTTCTAGAGAAGTTAAGGGTAAGAGACAGAGAATCACATGATTTAATCATGTAAGTAGGATATTAACTTGATACATGGATATTTCTTGCCTGCCATTTACACTTAGAAAGAGAGCACTGGGTGAATACAGTACAGTACCTGGCATTATTCTACAGTAAAAGCTGCTTACAAACCAAATTGTTATTTTTATATAAGCTTAAAAAGGTGAATTCCCAAAAGAACAATTTTTTTTTTTTTAGCAATTTTTAGGTAACGTATGTTTAAAAGAATTCCTAGACCTTGAACAGAACAGAACTGTTAAAAGCAACTCGAACAGAAAATCCCTCTTTTGGCAATCAGATGTCTTAAATGCCCTTTCAAAGGCATTAGTACTTAACACAGCCTCTAGCAACTTCAAACAGCTATCTTTATTTTCTCCTCTGAGTAATCTCTTTCTAAAGCAGAAAGCAAAATTTACTGGGCTAAATACTGACCCAAGGGCAAGTAACTTAATTTTCTGTGTGTCCCTATTTCCTCATCTGGAAAATTATGATAAACTCTTCGGGTTGTATACCACAAATGACTGGAAAACAACTCAAATGCTCTTGGTCAAAGTTAATTTGGCTGCATTGTCTTCTGGGGGTGAGTGGAAGAAGTAAGTATATTTTTTCAACTGACAACCCACAGAAATTCTGCTAAATTATAAAACGCTTCGCTTTCATCCTTAACGGGCAACTGTTCAACAAAAAGTGCAGGGCACAGCCTTGCGGGGCTGGTACCTCAATGTTGCCTACCCTTGTACTGCTTTGTTGGTATGTGATACTCCCCCTTCTGACTTGATTTGATTAATCCATGTTCAGACCAAACTCTGGGAACTTGGCGAGGAGAAGAGTACAGAACACAGAAGGTTACTTTCGTTTGAGTGAAGCCCAGAGAGTTTGGGCTTGCTTTCCCATGGAGTTTTCACAACCTAACCACCCAAAACTTTTCTTTGCTCTTAGCAAAGGCCACAGAGAGCTGACTCCATGCTCCACATCCATCGTGAGGCTCTAGGGAAAACTTTTGTTTGTTTTGTTTTGTTTTTGGTTTTGGCATAGAGAACACGTACAGGACACGTATAGAACAAGTATGAAAATTTTTTTCTGAAAAAGTGTGTTCTTACGGTCATCAATCCTGTAAGACTGGTCATAAATGCTCCAGTATCACAGAATCATAAATACTTAGAACTTGACAGGTGCTATGGAGGCGATGTGTTCAAAACCCCTCATTTTATACATGAAAGGAAAACTGGTGTTCAGAAAAGTAGAGGTCAGTTGCAGGTGAAGACCAGAGCTCAGGTTTACTCAGTACTATCCGTTGTACTTCCCATATATGGTTGACCCTTGAAAAACACAGATTTGGACTGTGAGGGTCCATTTATATGCAGATTTTTTCCATATATAAGATACAGTACTGTAAATGTTTTTTTTCTCTTCCTTATGATTTTCTTGGTGACTTTTTTTCCCTCTAGTCTACTTTATTATTAACATACAGTATATACAAAATATGTGTTAATCAACTGCTTAAGTTATCGGTAAGGCTTACTGTCAACAGTAACGCATATACAAAATATGTGTTAATCAACTGCTTAAATTATCGGTAAGGCTTACTGTCAACAGTAGTTCAGTTTTGGGGGAATCAAAAGTTAATGGGCAGGGGGTTGGTGGTTCTAACTCTTGTGTTGTTAAGAGGTCAACTGTGTTAATGCACCAACAGGGGCCACTAAGCAGCAGTGATTTTTAGCAAGGACAACTTAAACTTCCTGCCCCATTTCTGTAACAAAATCAAATAGAAATCTGTAAGGAAACAAATAGTCTATTATAGGGCATGGCAAAATCATTCAAAAGGTATGGCTCACAAAATTCAGTTATCTACCCTCTAAGACTTTTTCTGTTCTTTAAAAAAAATTTTTTTTAATGTTTATTTATTTTTGAGAGACAGAGAGAGACAAAGACACAGCATGGGCAGAGACAGACAGAGACACGGAATCCAAAGCAGGCTCCACGCTCTGAGCAGTCAGCACAGAGCCCGATGTGGGGCTTGAACCTACGAGCCATTATATCATGAGCTGAGCTAAAGTCAGACACTTAACTGACTGAGCCACCCAGGTGCCCCTAAGACTTTTTCAAATCTGGGGAAGCCGTGGCAAAAACAATGACTCTCTAAAGATTCCAAATAAATAAGTGAAAGGTTATTCCTGGTTTCCAAAATTATTATTTTTTTTTTAAGAAGGAAGAAAGAGTGTAATCAACTATTAGCCTAGGATAAACAGCCCAAACAGCCCTTACTGAATAGTGCTCACATTCTAAGATGGAGGACAGACCATTGTTCATGGAGATGCACCAGTAATATGAGGAGTGGGGCACCAATGGTAATACTAGACATTAGGAAGGGATTAGGGAAGCAAGGAGTTAGGTTTTTGATAAGTTAAAGTCTATATGCTATTGGATGTTCAAATCTGATTCTGCGGTAGTATGGTAGGGACCCTATTTTCGTAATCCTATTTTCAAACACTATTAGTCCTAAATAGCAGACTACTATTTATTGTGTGGAGCAACAGTGGCTCTGACCGCGATGGCCAGTGTCCATACAGACCATAGTTGTTCATGATGGCAGTGTCCCTTAATCAAACCCACTCAATCCTGATTATATTACAAAGGACATGATTTTATTACTCGTGAGCTCAGTACATGTGGTGCTGCCTCTTGTGGCCAGATTTACTTCTTACAGACTTCAAAGCGAAATTAATCCTTTGTCCCAACAAATGACATGTAAATCTGCTGAAAGACAGTGTTGACACCATCTGGCTTTAAAATCAGTAGAACATGGGGCGCCTGGGTGGCTCAGTTGGTTGAGAGTCTGGCTTCGGCTCAGGTCATGATCTCACGGTTTGTGGGTTCGAGCCCTGCGTCAGGCTCTGTGCTGACAGCTCAGAGACTGGAGCCCGTTTGGGATTCTGTGTCTCCCTCTCTCTCTGCTCCTCCCCTGTTCATGCTCTGTCTCTCTCTCTCTCTCTCTCTCTCAAAAATAAATAAACATTAAAACAAATTATAAAAAAATAAATAAAATCACTAGAACAGTTCTCAGTATTTTTCCCCATTAAAAGAAATCAATCCATTTGAGTTTATTTTTAAAATTATAAAAATGAAATAAGAACTGCTAGAGATAGTGGATGATAAAATATATTGGAATAAACCAACTGGCAAAAAAAAAAAAGATTTTTCTGGAGACTGAGTGTGCAAGATTTTCAACACAGCAGCTGTTGATTCCTTGAAGAATTAAACATTGGAACTAATATTTTTGCTGAGTGTTTGGAATAAAGACTTTTATTTTGCAAAATGGTTAAAAAGAACTTTAACACTATGTTAGAGAATAAACTGTGGTCAAATGCTGGACATTTATCTAGCGATTAAAAAACCTGCACCCAGATGAGAAATCCAATTTTAATGACCTGCTTTGAACATTGGTAAAATGAATAGAAAATGTCCTTCTTTTTAAACTTAGAAACATTGGTGTCATCATAAATGATGGCAGAAATGCACTTGTAAATATTTGTCTTACAAATTGGATATATAAGAATAAATACAATTATTTTACACACTGTGCCGCCTTGGACTGAGTTATGTCTTATGGAATAAAAATAGATCCCAATTTAAAATTTGTTTTGGAATTTAAAAAGTTTCAATTTATTTTTGGCTAGCAAAACAAAGAAAAACTAAGCTTAATGAAGTAGACAACATTTCATGTATTGTAAGGTATAAATGTTAAAAATATGTCAAGATAGTACAAAAATGCTTATTTCTTCTCTGATTTTCTTTAGTGTTTTTCTCAGACAGGGGAGTTAAATAAGAAATGCACAAAAATGAAACATCTGGATTAGCTCCAATTATCTATAAATCAAACTCACTTCCTGTGAGTCAACTCATGAATTGAGGAAGAAATCACAAAGGAAATTACAAACGCTGTGACTGAAAACCCAACATATTCACATTTTGGTATGTGCTCCAGCAATTCTTAGAGGAAAATTTACAGCACTAAATGCTTTTGTAAGAAAAGAAGAGAGGTCTCCAGTCAATGATTTAATTTCTACATAGAGGAACCAGAAAAAAAGAGAAAATCGAACCCAAAGTGAGCAGAAGGAAGGAAATAATAATAACAAAAGCAAGGGCCAATGGAATAGAAAACAAACAAACAAACAAACAAATTAAAAGAGAGGGTAAAAAAAAAGAAAGAAAAAATATGAAACCAAAATGAAACCAAAAATCTGGCTCTTTGGAAAGGTCTTT